TCATGCAATAATATAATAATAATAACATGCAAATAAAATAATAATAACAACATAAAGAAAGTATATGTTGGTTAATTTTAGCCGATCAAGAATAAGTTATACATTTTATTTTACAGATGTAAAATAATTTGTTTTGCGACTTACTTAAATAACAATTGATAATTTTTTTAAGTTGAAATCTAAATCGGTGAATATCTTTTATCACCTTTTTAAGTGTATTGTATTTCTTAAAATCTAAGAAGTCCCCTCCCCCCTACCATGTAAACGTAACTAAAAAACAGTATGCACTATAGATTCAGCGGTGTCTTAGAATTGCAGTTTTCTTCCAACTTACTCCAATGTAATGGATGTGTAACGTGTATACGAGCCAGTTTCCCTTAGAAAGTCCTCCACGAGGGCATTTCTCCCTTTAGGCAGATAGCCCTCGTGTGCTTTGCCATAATTGAATAATCCAATCTAATCCAATGTAATGGTTCCAAATTACTAATAAAAAATAGGTTTGTTATTTATAAAATTAAATTCCTTTTTAAAAATTACTTGGCGCATTTGTTGGTAGTATCGTTGAAATTCTATATTTTAGCGTTTATTTTATTTTACTAGTAGTAATCTTTTTCTGTTGGTGGTACTAAAATTAAGGAGTGCATCTTAAAATCGAAGAAATACGGAGATGTTCAACTAAAAAATAAAATTCCATCATTCACCTTGCAGTACAGTATAAATGTATTTGGCGTATAAGAAAGAAGACTGCCCAATAATTCGGATTTATCGAATATCTAGATCAGCTGTAATCCAAATATTTGGAGTTTCATTGTAAATTTCGTTCATAAGGAAAGGTTGTTTGTCATTTCGAATAGGAGGTTGTTACATGAGGATTATATCATGAGGATCATGTGTAAGTGGAACTCACGTCTTTACTTTCATTTTCAAATAAATAAATAACGTTTACTTTAGCAACTATGCAATAAATCTCTTCGAATACAAGATCTGTAAACAATGGTTCTGTGAAGGATTTTGAGTAAAGGCAAGAAAGACCCTTAAAGAAACAATTCTTATGTAGCACAGTTGAAACCAATAGGTAAGAAATGAATAATAGACCACATTCTTTTTCTCGAAGCGAACAATAACACATTTTCTGCAACATCTGCGGCCATTACTAATTGAAAAAGAATATATATATGAATAAATCTGATAGACCACCAAAAACGTGCTTTTTTTTTTTTTTTTTTTTTTTTCAATTCACCAATTTTTTTTTATCTGTATTCATTATTACATGTTTCGTGTTACTAAGCTGAACATATAATTTTTACGATCTAAGTCTCCAGATCTAATACTACTTCATTTTAAAGAATATATTTAGTTCCAGTGGAATTCCTGACCAATCCAAGCAATTCTTTGAATATCTCCCAACCACATTTATTATTGACTTTAAATCTGTCGCATACCTGTATGACATCTGAATATTTGGGGTTGGGAACTGCGTGTTGTTACTTAATGTGGCTTTATCAGCGTATAAAATTATTGCAGGTATTGATAATTTCATTAGCTATCATCAATACGTATTTAATTTCATATGATGAAACTGATAGTGGATTTGCAAATAAAACTCAAAAATTAGTAGCAGTAAATTAAATAGTTTCATATGTAAATAATTCCAGTACAGTCAAAAGTCGTTAATTCGGACTCGTCGGGACTTCGGCGATTCCGGATTATAGATCATCAGTTTAAATCTCATAAGATGGCATGCAGAAATTCTAAAATTAAAAATATGAAACCGTAATTTATGAAATAAAGAACAATTATGATCTAAAGGGTATCAAAATTTACAAAAAAAAAAAAAAAAAAAAGCTTAATATTTATTTGTTTACTTTATTAAACATTTCTTTCAATGTAAGTTGTTCGTTTTATGTGATAATACTATCTCTTTAATTCTATAAACAGACATAATTTCTTGTTCGGTTACAAAGTTCCACTGTTCAAGTCCCGTTAATTGCTGTGCCGAGAATACCGACTAACTTGTCATTCGAAATTTTTTCGTTTTCACTAACCTCTCTGTCACATTCTTCATGTCTTTATCCATTTTTTTGCAGCAATTCCACTTTTTGTTTGATGGACATCGAAACATACTTTCGTTTTGTATGATCCTTTGGGAGCTCCAGAATCGGAAATTCTACTTGACATAATCGAAAGTTCAAGTTTACTTTTATAGTTTGCTCTTACAGTCTGCAAAAAATAATAAGCCGGATTCAATTCGAACATTAAGGAACAACACAATCATCAACGTTAACTGAAATAGATAATTAGATCATTTTAGCTTATACCGTCCGTTATACATAAAACGCGCACGCGAAAACGTATTCTGCGCTTGCGCACACACATACGCGCAGTCGTAAAAAGGTCTTACGCGCACGCGTAAACGCCTATGCGCATGTGTCAACGCGGCGCATGCGCAGAAAGTTTTTAGCTTTGAGGTCCGGATTATAGATCATTCCGGATTATGGGTGTCCGAATTAACGACTTTTGACTGTACCACTTTTTATTATTGGTATTGGGTGTGAACTCGAATATTTTATGTTCTTAGAAAATGCTACATTACAATGGACAAAATATGACCTTCTGCATGTCTTCATAGTTAATTCATTAATTATTTAAGATGTTAATTAAAAATCTTAAATAACACATTTGTATTTGTACGGAAGTGTATTTGATACAAAATGGCATCACTCCTACGATGCAGAGAAAAGGTTATATCATCTGAAAGAAGCATTGGATTGCTTAGAACAGTACAATTTTCAAAAGTTCATACGGATGAATACAGTACTGTCAAAGTACTCTTTCTTTTTTATAATCCTGTCTCGCAGAATTTTTTTTCTAATTTTATTGCAATAATGCAGCATGTGGTACATAGTATCCATTAATATGTGCTTTATGTTGAGCAACAGCAGATTATTTAATCATTATTTCCTGAGGGCTAATCAAAAATAAATTTGGAACTATATGTTAAGTTTGCACCTCCTACACACTTCAAGGTAAAGACCCAGTTATTTAGGACTTTAAGCACAGCATGTTTTCAATCATTTTTATGTTTCTATAAAAGAAGAAAGAAGGGTATTTGCGTATTAACGGAGAGCGGTTGGCTAACTTTGGCAGTAATTTGATGCAATTAGTTTTTTTTTTTTTCATTTCAGGTGGAAAATGTTTTTAAATTAGCTTTGAAGAGTTTTTTTACACTAAGCTACAACTTACAACATCTGTGTGAACTCCATTAAGTATGACTTCAAATGGTGTCTTTTTGTATCCATATTTTTCTTATTCTCCTATCATGAAGAAATCCATATCTGCTTGATATTTTGTGTATGAATTTCGGAATGTGGATTCACAAAATTAAATTTGTGGTTCACTCAGCTTGAAACTGGCTTTTTGGAATTCCGTTTTATAGGTGGTCAAGGAGTTGGAATAAATGGTTGTTTCTTTCTTGATATTTTTTTCAATTGCATTTAACAGATTCTTAGCTTTTCTGTTGGGCACAGTAACAAGAAAAATTTTTTTCAGTTTCCAGCAAACATCGTAGAAAATCCATTGATACTGCACAACACAGCTGACATTATTTTTTCTTTTCGAGAACAGCCTTTCATCACTTTACAACTAAACTTTCAGCACCTATTTTTCTTATTTTCATGATTCTGCATCGTATAGATATCCTACTCTGTAACAGTAATGTCAGCCATGTTAAGGTTTTCCATTCAAAACTTTATTGATGTCAGTTCCTTAGATCAGCCCTATCAGTTTCATGTCTTTTGAACATCACTGTTCGCTCTTCAAACTGAATCAAATAAAATTTCATGTCATGAAAATTAGAACAATGATGGTTGCTTGGTAATTTATTATATATATACTCTTTCTTGTAAGAAATTAATCATCCCTTGAACGAGTCGATAAAATGAGTACCAAATTTGCTTGGAGACTCATCGGGCATTTTGCGACAAGCTGACCACTTGCCCAGGGCTTATGCTGATGCACTCGGGGCCCAAGGTCAAGAAAACAGATTTCTGGGCACTGCAGGCCGTGGCCCACTAGGGCTGTTATGCCACCGTGTTTCTCTCTCTCTCTCTCTCTCTTTTTTTTTTTTTTTAAGAAATTAATATCATCACCTTCATTGTTTGGTAGATTTCATAGACCCATGATCGAATTATAAACTCCGCTCTTAAAACTGCATCTTATAGGTGTTCTTAAACCTTAGCAATGTACGAGGCATATTCGGAAACTAAGTACCGTTTTGAAAAAAAAAGAAAAAAAAAAAATAGTAAAACAATTTTTTCGAATGGAATTTTATTTTTACATGAAAATATATGTCTTAAACTATTTTTCAACATAGTTTCTGCCAAAGATCAAACACTTGTCATAGCGGGTGACCAGTTTTTGTATACCATCGTCAAAGAAACTTCCCGCCAGTTTTGATAACCACGACTCCACAGCATTTTTTGTGTCATCGTCAGATCCAAAGTGCTTGCCACCAAGCTCGCGCTTCATGTGCAGGAACAAGTGACAGTACGTGAAATTTGTAAAAGAGTTATCATTGTGAAGCGTCTGTTCTCATGAATTAGTAGCAGCAATCTCGTTATCATCTATCAATGGAAATGTGAAAAACGCCAAGATGATGAATTCAAAATGTATAAATTTAACCGTTTTATTTTGCTTCATTATTTTTTTTTAAGTGGTTATAAAGAGAAATGTATAGTTTTAGAAACTGGATGAACTACAATAACTTTATACATGTTTTTATATTGTGTAATTTACTAGTGCATTCATTGTAATTAAATATAAGAATTATTAAAAAACATATTTGAAGTACGGATTTTCGCTGCATGACTTAAAAAAAGTTTCGATACTTTCGAGAGAATGAGTTATGTGAATGATTATCAGTAAAATTAGCAATCATTGATAGTATTTTAGTGTAGCATGAATGTAAGACGAGCAAGAGAAGAAAAGAGAAAAAATGCAGATTATTTTATACAGATAATATTTTAATAAAATTTTCAACAGTCAAACACTTTGAAACAAAAAGTGGAACCACTTTATGCCATGGTTTGTTTTGGCATTTAAAACTTTTTCTGTACATACACAGATAGTAACTTTTTACTGTACAGCAATCCCTTTGCTAAATATCAAAATTACTTTTATATTTCGACACAATTTTTGAATTAAAAATAAGTTAAACGTATTTTTAGAACAGAACTTTGCATGCCATCAACATAAGTATAGTTCAAATCTGAAAACAGATGTATAATTAAGAAGCCTAAAACTCAAACAATTTACAGTAACGTTCAAACACAGTACCTGAGGACAAAAACATTAAACAAAGATTTTATGATAATGTACAGGTCGATAAACGAATGGTTTATATATCACCAGCAAATACAAGTTCTTCTTAACACTGCAAGAATAGAAGTCCAGCTGCGAAAGTATATATATTTATATATATAGATTATTCTATAAAATGCAAGTTCAACGCCAGTGAAATATGATCGTTTTTAAAAGGAAGATGACTCTTAAATGCAAAAAATGCTGACATGATGTAACATAATATACAATAGCTTGATGGCAGTTTAGTCAGGGGAGTACAGCCATATTGATGAGTCCACAGTTCACATTCGTGCAGTTCGGCTACGAGTGAACTCCGAAGGACCAGTATTTCGAGGGGTAATGATCTGTCAGCTCTTTTCTTCGCACTCCCTCCACGTTTGCTCAAGTTCGCTATAAAGCTGTGGAAATAAAGTCACTCAGTTAATTTGTTAAACCAAACACAAAAGCTACTTTCCACCATATAAATTGATATTCTGAGTCAAGAAATGTCTTCTTCAAAAGCTGAATCAACTTACACAATGGACATATTATATAAACAGGAGTTGGACAAAAATATGGAAACACCTTTAAAAAAACATGTTTCTTTGCTTAATATGGCGTAGAAAACCCGTTGGCATCCAAAACAGCTTGCAGTCTTCTCGGAATGGATAAATACAGTTCCTGTACGTTTGCCAAGGGAATATTATACCATTCTTCCTGCAAAACGGTGGCAAGTTCAGATAACGATGTTGGCGGTGGATAACGAGAACGCACTTTCCGTTCCAATGTAGACCACAAAGGTTAGATAATATTCAGGTTGGTGACTGTGGTGGCCAGGGGAGATGGAGAATGGGACAACTCATCCTCGTGCTCAAGAAAACCAGTCCTGGACAATGTGAGCTGTGTGAACAGGGGCTTTGTCGTCTTGGAAGACACCATCACCATCAGGGTACAAAGTGTGTACCATGGGATGAACTTGATCGGCCAAAATGTTCACATAAGTCTTGGCAGTCATGTGCCCCGACACATGGGCTAGCAGTGAACCACGGTCATGGGGCTAGCAGAGAACCACGAATATGGCTGCCCAAACCGTAACAGAACCCACGCCATGTTTCACTCTTGGCAACAAGCAGTCTGTATTATAGGCTTGAGATGGCGTTCTCCAGACGTAAACTCGCCAGAAGTGGGAAACGATGTGAAAGAAGACTCGTCAGACCATATTACTCGCTTCTACTGCTCTATAGTCCAGGCTTTCTGACTTAAACCACCACCACTTTCCATGTTACGGGCATTAGCATCACTGATGAATGCTTCTCAATTGCAGCACGGCCGCAATTCCCTGTTTATGAAGCTCCCTTCTAATTGTTTTGGTACTCACAGGGTTCGGTACACACAACATTCATTTCAAGCAGTACTGTTTCAGCTGTGGTCTTCTATTATTTTTCGTCACAATTGCCCTTAATGATCGTCTGTCACGATCACCCAGGACACACTTTCGTCCGCGCTGTGATTTAGCAGATGATGTTTTCCGCTTTTCAAATATACGAACTAAATCTTCGATACAGTACCCTCTTGAAACACTAAACACCTCGGCTACCTTGCTTACGGAAGCACCTATCATACGTGCTCCAACAATTTGCCCACGTTCGAAGTCTGTTAACTCTGACATAATGCAATGACAACCTCACATAAACAGTACTCTGACAACAACTGAACTGTTTAGCACATTTACGAAGTTGTATAGGTGGCATCAGTAGTCAAAAACGCTAGCGCCACCTACATATTTCATTAAAATCAATCTTTCTTTTCAAACATTTTCTTTGCATTTCACAAGGTGTTTCCATATTTTTGTCCATCCACTGTATATTTACTAATAATGTTACTAGTTACATGTAGCATGAAAGAGATATAACTATATATATTTAAAATGAAATACTAAGTAAATATTTTCTTATAAAAATTTTAAAAACTTTTCTGAAGGGAGTTTAATGAAAGAAGAAATTTGTTGCCTAAACTATGTTAGAAATAAACTTTTGGAAGCAAAACCATTTTCTTTTTTAACCGATCCATTATCATAAAATTATTTTTTTAAGCTTCTACTGCTAGAAGAAAATAAACGAGAAATGTAATAATACGAGGGCCATCCAGGAAGTAGATTACGTTTCCGTCTGTGTCCGCTAGGGGCGGGGCTAGCGCGGCCATGTTGGGGTCAGAGCGTTGCGCAGCGCAGTCTGCATCTAGCCGTGCTAGTGAGAGGTTCGTGCTGTGCTCCGTTCAGATACTGTGACGGTTTTGAAATGTCTGCGTTAATTGAAAATCCACGAGGTGCTGCGCTCAGTAATAAGGTTTTGATGCGCAAAAAACTGTAAACCGATAGAAATCTATCGGCAGCTTCGTGAAGTGTATGGGGACAACATTATCACTGAAGGTGGAGTGCGTCAGTGGGTCATAAGATTTCAAAATGGCCGAACCAATGTTCACGACGAAGATCGAAGTGGGAGACCCAGCATAGTGACCGCCGCCGAACTTCTCGAAAAAGTCGATGTAAAGTCCGTGAAATCGAAATTTCACAATAACGGAACTTTCTTTGAGTTTTCCACAAATTTCGCGAAGTTTGTTGCACGAAATCATCAGCGAAAAAGCTTGGTTTACCACAAGTTTTGTGCAACATGGATTCCAAAAATCTTGACAGAGGACCACAAAAATCAGTGAATGGCTGCAGCGTTGAACTTTTTGGACGCTTACCATAAGGATGGTGACTCTTTTACTCGATCGCATCGTTACTGGTGACGAAACATGGGTGAAAAACATGTGAACTGTGAAACGAAATTGCAATCAATGCAGTGGGGGCACACAAGTTCTCCCCAAAAACCCAAGAAACAAGAAATGCATGCAAAACAATGTCGGGCAAGGAGAGATGATGGCGACTGTTTTTTGGGACAGAAAAGGTGTGTAATTTTGGTGGACTTCCTGGAAAGAGGCACTACAATAAACTCTCAAAGGTATTGCCAAACTCTCCAAAAACTCAGAGAGAGCAATTCAAAAACAAGCGCAGAGGAATGTTGAGCTCTAAGATCTTGTTGATTCACGACAACGCCCGCGGCCCCACACGGCAAATGTCACTCGTAAAGTTCTGAATCTTTAAGTGGGAGTTGTTTCCTCATCCGCCGTACAGTCCCGACCTGGCACCGAGCGACTTCCACCTATTCCCAGCAATGAAGAAGTGGCTGGCTATGCAGCGTTTTGATGACGACGCACAGCTGCAAGAAGAGGTAACGAAGTGGTTGAAGGCGCAGGCGGCCGAATTTTTCGACGAAGGAATTTCCAAGCTCGTACATCGCTACGATAAATGCCTTAATTTGTATGGTGACTATGTAGAAAAGTAGTATTTGAGTGTGGCTTTTGGCTTTCATCTGTATATAATAAAATTTGTTTCCTATACTTTGTTTATTTTTTTATTCCAAAACGTAATCTACTTTCTGGATAGCCCTCGTAGAATAAAATAAAATTGAATAATAAAAACAGACTTAAATAAAATAAAATGTTCAGTTATTTAAAATTGCAGAGCATCAAATAATATGTACAAAATCCAAAAGGATTTTGATTCCTAATATTTGATGTTGTGCAGCTGATATGCAATATTCAGAAGTTTTTCCTCACTGTATGCAGATCAATTTCAGAATACATGTACTTTGAAACAAGCATAGTTTTAAACAATTTCTCGTATTTTATGATATTTTTGTCAAGTGAAGAAGAAATAACCATCATAAAATTTCCCACATGTATTCAGGTACTTCAATCATCCATGCTGTGCTTAGGTTTGAAATAGAAACGTCATGTAGAATCTTCATAGTCACTTGAGTATCCAAAGTAAGTGTATCACAGCTGAATAAGGAACTAAACTATGGATATCATTAACTGCATGCTTAAATAAATGACATGGATGAACGTTATATCGAATCTTTTGATGATGTGCCACCATCCATTTAAAAATAGACGGAAATAGTATTTTATGGTGAGTGTAATCAAAGTGCTCGAAATATTTCAAGGCTGTAAAGGGCTGTTAAGATTGGGGTGAACCCCCAATCTGAGCTAATGGTGCTATTCCATGTATCAACTAGCTCTGCTACATGTGGCAGTACAGACTTTTCAACTAAAGAAATAATGTTTTTTTTTTTTTTTTTTTTACATTAAAAAGAGCTTACCAAATGGCTCCATTAGCTAAAATAATCCCTAATGTGAATGGCCTCTTACAGCTAAACTTTCCTGTATAATACATATCCAACTGACAAAAACTAAGTTTGCAATTTCAAAGAGGAAAAAACAGAAGCAAGGAGTAAAATCATACCAGTGCCTCAGTAGTGCATTCTATAAGTAATTTATACTATATAATGTGCAGCTAGTAATTATTACCCATTAGGGCATTTCTAGATGTTGATGCTATACAACATTTTCTTTTGTTTTGCTTCATTGGAGGTTTGAATTTGATAAATTCCCTGGTTCTCCACTTGGAACTTAACTGACTACAGTCACTTTTATTCAATTAGGCATCATCAGTGTAAACATGCCTAACTGAATGAAAGTGATTGTTGCATTTTTTAACGAAGGTTTATACAATTAGACATGCCCATACTGTCATCTTTATTCAAGACAGACATAACACAGCCCACAACATTTATTTCACAATAAAAAAAGTGCATATGAACTCATTTCAAGCATTGTACATATAGCTCTTCCTAACACACTGAATATCAGATAGCAATTAGAGTATATAAATTCATTTAAAAGAATGGTGCTGAAAGCTTTGGAAATCTCATTCTAATATACTCTGATATTCTAACGTACGTTTTTGACTGGAATGGTCTATGCATTTAAACTTCTGACTAACAACTTCTTAAAAATTCTGGGTATCTAATTCCTCAAAGAAGTTAATGTAGATTTTGATTTTTTTTTTTTTTTAATTTCGAATACTGATCTCTCTACTCAAACTTTCAGAGCAGCCTTCATATTTATTTTTTGCAATATGCTTCAGATAAATGTAACATGTATTAAATACAAGAGTATACTTTAAAACTTTTCTGTATAGAATCAATAATTTTAAAAGCATTAAATTTTTAAAATTTTGTCTAAACTTTTGTCTTTACTGAGCCCTAGCCAAAACAACTCAAAATCAGCTTGTTTTTCAAAATTACTTTTATGTAAAATTAGATATAATTCAGAATATATTCATAATATATGCAACTATTATTATAAACAGAATGGGATGAAATTCTTTAAGAATTAACAGTATATGTGATAGTTAAGAAAATCTCATGGTTTAAAAAAAATACTTTTTGAAAACAATGAAAATATATTAAAGAATTTTAACATGTTTCCTATCAGCTGCGTACTCTGTGTGTGATACACACCATATATTCCAGCATGTAATACTCATGTCTAAAACAAAAAAATAAGACAGGAATTTACGGGTCCGCGCTATATGTTGGATATAAAAATGATAGAATAAGGAAAATTTAGCATCCAAAATTTAGATTTTTTCATGTACCTAAGTGCTAATTACTTAAAAGAAATGACATACCTTATGAACTTAAAAATTTTCATTATCGGATAACACAAAAAATTCGCCTTCCATTGTATCTTCAAGCATATCAACTAATCTGTTTCATCTTCACCATCATTGTTACTCTGATTCACAAATAAATTATAATCATTTGTTTTATCTTTCACCAACACCCAAACATCAGCAAGATTCCCATTTTCTTTTGCAAAGTGAATGACTTTGCATTTCAGACCAGCACTGTATTGTTTTAGTAGGAGCAATATTTACTATTAAAAGGAACGCTATATCAACTGTATTTCAACTAAAGCAAATTCAATTTACTCTAAAGCCTTTGATGTTTGCTTCAAATGATGATAGAAAAAGAAAACATCAGACTCCAAATTCATTCAGGTAGGAAGGGTGTTCTTACCCCAAATTATGCCTCCTTTATCTTGAAATCCTATAATAACATTCTTGTGCCCACCTTCACTGAATACAACCCAACCTTATTGCTGAATTATTTACTCCCTTAAACATTTCTCTCGCACACGTATTATTCTCTTATGGCAATTTAGTATACCATTGTTCGAGCACGTAGGCAATATCTTCAAATGAATGGTTTCAAATTATATAAGAGCATTGAACATGTATCTCAGATTTCTTTATATAGAAAATGGTGTACCTTAAATGGAGAATGTACCTAAAAATTAAAAATTGTAGTTTGAAATTAGAGGTGCGCATTTTATGCCGGAATATATATATATATCGATAAATTGTACAAGCATAGTGTAGAAATTGTTTTCATAAATTTCCATATTAAGTTTAATTTAAATTAAATCATTTGAAGTTACATTTTAAAATTATGAACCAATCACTACACATCATAGGCTACCAATTACTGCTATAAATAAAGGGTGGAAATGTTGTTCAATAACTAAAATACATGTGATTAAGTAACTGATGTGACTGCTTTTGTGAAATTCAAGCATATTTTCAAAATTCTTACATTCCAATTTATAATTAACATTTATCAGAAGCATATTTATTATGGCCATATACCATTTGTAGATTTGCTATGAAATGTTACATAAATTATTTAAAATGTTTAGTTTTCATCATTAAATATTTTTATCTGAAGTATGAAGATAAAATTACTTACAGTATTGACCCAGGCATGATCCTGCAGACAGTCCTCCAATAAAACATGTGACTCAATTTTTTCACTATCTCCTTTAACTTCATTCATCTGTCAAAATAAAACAGCATAAAGAAATTAAAGAATAACAATTACATATATTAATCAATCTAAAAGCTATAAGTAAATTATTTTAATTAAAAAGTTATCCAAAACATTCAGTAATATCAAAAAGCTAGGAAGTGGTAAAAAAAATTACAAGTTTTATTAAAAATTACGATTTAGTCCCGATACATTCTGCCCAAAAAGTTATTCTTAAGGAAATTGCAAATTCTGTTGCCTATATTTCCTATCAGCATATTTTATTAATCGTCACCATACTTAAAAACTGGCACTACTCCATTATTTCTAGCTGTATTTTTTAATTACATATTTTATTTTCAGCAAGTAAACCATATACTTAATCATTGAGAAAAATCTGAATTGTGCAGTGTAACATTGGTATTTAGAATATACCAGCCTTACCTCAATTTAAAAGTTGAATGCTCTTGAATACAGTACCTATGAATACAAAGAAAGTAAATGCAGTGGTGATTTGTTTGGGTCGTTATCGCAAGTGATTTTTAGGCCTTGCTGGTCTCATGATGCCATCTATAATTGGTATAATGAGCAAGTTGTTCCTAGGCCTGTACAGAATGATATTTTAATGGTGCTGCTTGCCAATAAAGGGTGCCTGTGAAAGTCGCTATTCTTTTTAACTTCATGGTGCCTGGTTGAGGACAGAACTTGTGCACCTCAGTGCCATAGATTGATGGTTAAGCTGATCGTGTCACAAATGGATGTCATTGACTCAAGTGATTTTAGAGGTACCTTCCTTAGATAATGCTTGCAGCATTCCAATAAATAATAATATTCTGATATTGCTAAACATTCCTCTGAGTTGAAATACTGTTTTGATAATAAACAGTGTCCATTTACAATATATGTATAAAAGAAGTTTCAATTCATCAATTTCTTTTTTTAAGCATGAAAATTAGGCAGTTAATTAAAATTGTTAAATATCATTTCTCTTTTTATTTGCTAGTACTGTTTTAAAAGTAACAAAATGAAATATATTTGTAACTTGATATTCCAGGCATGATTTGTTTCCTATTTCTTGAAGTACAGCAAAATTACAATTTATTAATAAATATTTCAGATCATGACATGATATAAACGCTGAATTGGCTCAAATATAAGACGATGTTTTTCCTTAAAATAGGCATCTGAAAAGAGCCCTGTGGCACAGTGGCTAGACGTTGCGCAGCAGCACCACAGGTTCGGTGTTCGATTCCTAGGCTGGGCAAGGTTGTCTCAACCTTTCATCCCTAAAATGGGCCGATAATATGAATACCAAGTTCGCTCTGAGACTAAATACCAGCGGGTCCTGTGACACGCTGACCATTTGTCCAGGTTAAGATGCACAAGCAACCTGGAGCCCACTGTCTAGAAAGCAGATATCAGGGCATTGCCAGACATGGTTCTCTGTTTGTACCACTGATTTTAGTTTAGTTTTAGGCATCTGAAAGCCACAAACCATTTTATATACACAAATCTTAAGTTTTACAAATTTACATATGTATATAAATTATCACTTATCAAGTTTAACATTAAAAAATACTTAAATTTTATCTGAAGGAATGATATGTACTCATTTGATGATGCAAAGCCTTTTTTTAAATTACCCTTTATTTTAATTTATTTATTCTTGAATAGTTTTATCTCATATGGAATGTCGTCTTATATTTAAGAACAGTACAATATTAAAAAAAAGCATTACCTTTGTACGACACTTTATGAAAAAATTGTACTTCTGATGATGTAAGCGATTATACAGAGAAACTGTGGCAGAACACCTGCAGCAGGCATTAAATTGGGTTTTAGTAGCTAAAGGCATTTCAACCGATCCTAGTGTTGTCAAGTCGTAGGGTTGTCCATAAAACTGAAGCAATTTAATTCCATTTTCCTTGTCACATACCTGTAGAGGATTAGTTTGAAAAAGATTTTAAACCAAAGATAATTTTTGTTAAAAAAAATTCACAATGTATAAAAGATACAAATTGTACTTTGAAATTCATTTAAAAAAATAAGCCTAATACAGTTTTACATTTAAGTAAATTAAAAAAATCTTAATTAAAGTACAATTAACTCTTTTATGGCACATCCTCTACAGAAGGACAGCACCATTTAGAACCATGGGCAATCGTTTTACATTTTAGAGATCAGGTTAGATTTAGATATAAGCTTACAAGAACAGTTTCAGAACTTTTTTATACATATGGCATTCTTTTCAAAAAATTTTTTTCACTTCACTGAAAATATTGATCTGTTCTATTGGTACTTTTAATATGGTTTAAAATTATACTGAATCATTTATTCTGATTTGAAAAAGATCAAATGGAACCAGAGAAGAACGTGCACTGGAAGGCAACTGATCTATGTTATCAAGACACAACGAAAGTTCACTAAATCCAAATGGAGGACACTACTAATTAAAAAGTGCTTATGGAGGACACTACTTACTAAAAAGTGCTTCTAATATGTTTTGATAGATAAGAATATTTTAATCATTTGAAAAGAATAAACATATATTATACCTGACATTTCATTTCATTTGTAATACTGTCCAAAATGTTCAGACACGGGTAAGTATTTGCACATTTTTGTAATTCTTCATCCCATGTATCTTTCAATAAAGTTGATTTCTTAGCTTCACTCACTTGCTCGATTTCCTTGATGTTACTTAGGAAGTATTCATCTGAAAATATTTCATTTAAGAACTCTTATAAAAAATTAATAAAAATCTAGTGCAATTTAAAATGCATTATAATAAAGCAAGAAATAATATGTAAATAATTTAGAAGGTAAGTAGGATATTTATAACTACAAGTTAAATCAAACACTCCAAAAAAAAAAAAAAAAAAAAAAAAAAAAATTAACTGCAAAAAAATTGTAGATTCTTTAAGTATCACAAATTTTTAAGCACGTGGCTATGAAATGCAAATTTTAAGCATAGGCTATGAAATGCAAATATAATAAAACAGTAAAACTTCATAGATCGAGCATGTACCTTTTATTTAGTTAAAGCATGCTTGTACATGTTGAAGAAATTAAAATCATACTTGCAACAGCATTGCTTGTAATAACCATCCTAAATTTTATAATAGTAAAATAACAGATTCTCAAATCTGATATTATGTGCAACAGTATCTTAAAAGTGTTGGCAAAGCTTAAATCTGAAGACCATGGAAGTAGTTGGATGTTCTGGAATTCAGGCAAGTATACATTGAATCATGTCCAAGTGTTGGTGAACTAGTGCATTACTTGTACTGAAATAATCTCTTCTAGATGCACAAAGAATGTGAAAAGGTGCTCATTAATCAGCCAAAGCATTTTGGTAATAAGAAACATTTAACGACTTCTTGTTTCACAAAAAGGCTGTCCCTAACATTGAAAAGAATAGAATAATCTGGGTTTGTTTTATGAATACTGCATTCACGTTATCAATAAACATGATATAACAAAATTGGTTTTTCATGTGACCAATTGGTTTTTCATATGTATGAAAAGTGTCTTAGATGTAATTATCAGCCATAGGATTACAAATACTTCGCAGATAGAATAATTTGAGTAACTTTTTTAAAAGGGAAGGGAGCTGATTATACTATTGCACACCATGAATTTTATTTTGTCATTTATTTTTACACATGTATAGCTTACAATTTTAAAAAATGATTGAAGATTAACAAAAAATTTGATTTTAATATATATATATATATATATGTATAGTGTACTTGAATTGATGATAATTTACGTTATTTTGGGAATAAAATTGATTAAATGAAACATTAAATTTTTTAAATAGTAATCTTATATGGCATATAAAAATGAGCATATAAGAATTATTTTTTAGCAGTGATCCTGGATATAACTATTCTTTTCTATGCTACTTTCTATTTCTTTCTTCTACTCTATGCTGATATACTAAAAGAGAGTAAGTAACAAATAAAAGTGCCTGAATACAACATTACCATTTTCATTGGTTATTTCAGACAGAAAATTCGGATCCAGAGCTTGACTGATGAGTGTTTGTAGGAAGACTTCAAAATTATCTCTTAAGGGGTCAGGAGGGGCAGTTACATTTTCATCTGGAAATCTAAAAAAATATTTTTTGTAATCTACTAAATATTCTAAGATTCAAGATAACTGAAATAAGTATCTTATCATGCATAATACATTCAGCAAGACTCAAGGAGACCCAAATATTAACTCCATTTTGCAAAATATTTAACTTATATAAACAATCAATTGACAAGCAGCCTCTGGAAAGGGGATAAAAACATATTAAAATTAATAAGGAATTATCATGGAAACTAGTTTCCCCTTAACTTTTCAGAGCCATATTTAAAGCTTTACAGTAACAAAGCTTAACAGTAACATGGCAAAACAAGTACTGACACAAATTTTATCAAAAGCTGAAACAAAAGTTCTTGGCAGAAAGAAAATACAGCTCGGTTATTTTTTTCTCAATGATTACGTGATGTACATTTTCTCTTTGCTTTTCTCACTGATCTGCTATTCATTCAGCTTATTTTCTCTGCCTCTACTGAAAATTCTTTTGCTCCTATTGACGGCGGGTCAGTGTCCCTTTGAAATTGACAAGTTTTGTTAAAAAAACAACACAACTGCCAACTTCATAACAATAAAAATTCATAAAGAAGTAAATTGAATTTTACAGGAAAAAGTAAGATATCTGAAAAATGTAAAACAGTTGCATGCAAAAAACAACGGACTTCAAAAAATCGAAAAATAGATGAATGACATTAAAACTGTAATTTATATCAGTTATTAGCCTTTAAAATTTTAATTTTAGATTAAAGATTTCCAAAATGTGTGCAATTAAAAAGAAAAAGCTATTTTGAAAGATTAAGAGAGAAATAATGTTTTATTTTATGCTACTTTGAAGATACTGCAACATTACTATATTTGTTAAAAATATAAGAAAATTCATAAACCTCTGAATAAAAAAAAAAATTAGAAAAACTATTGGTATAATTGCTAAAATGCAGATAAGTTATCAAACTTACTGACGCAAAACCACAGAATTCATATTCCAAATAAAGAAGATGAATTCAAACTTTAATCAGAATATCACCCATTTTATATACAAATTTGATGAGAAACTGCCAAAATGGCACAGCTTTTAGCATCTTAAAAATAAAAGTGAATTTTACCCATAAAATCTAAAATGTTCGTACGAATTGTGAAAAATTCATAAAAGTTGGCAGTCTTATAGTTGTGGTTTTCCCCTATTTTAATTTAGTATAATAATTAAGATGGCCTTTAACACGCTTTACTGCTGTAATTGAGAAATAACATGGTATAGTACAAAAATCAATACTGTTATATTCCTGAAATTACCAAATACAGTATAAAAGTCAGAAATATATGGATTTTAGATCAACAGTTTAAATCTAGTAAGATAATATGTTGACAAGTACAAGTAGAAGCTAGGCCAGCACCTCTGTAGTACAAGTGATTGAGATCTAGCTGCTCTTAAGGTTCTACCCCAATTTGAGGGAGAAAAGTGTATGTGGGGAAAAGGTTTGAGGATCTCCCACTTCAACCCTCTTTCTCTATCACCAACTATTACAACTTTCTCTGTTACTATATATTTTCAGATACTATATGCTCATAGACATTCATGCCTTCTCGAGGAGTTGAACCTGGATTCACTGGTATGACAATCAGCATCACTAACAACTATACTGGCTAGGCAGCAACGACATGTAGACATGGCAAAATTAAAACTTAGCTAATTGTATAGAAGAATAATAACCCTATCAACAACAGAACCAACACCAGAGCTGATATGGCTGCATCGAGCGGCAGAAGGTTTTTATAATTTAGAAAAGCATCAAACGGTAAAAATAAGGGAGAGCAAAATTTTCAGACCTTACAAGAGGTACTGGGTATTTTTTTTTTTTTTAAATTTATTTAGGGAGGTACCAGGAAGCAGAGTTTGCACTGGTCGGCTCTTTCTTATGGCCAATCAAGGGCCAAAAGTGTGATCTTGGCCAGTATCAATACAATATTAATACATTATTATTAGCTGCAATGCAACTCACTACCCTGCAAGTGTTTGAAAGTGACAGGTATAAATCAGTTAGTCAAGACAAAATTTCCATTTACAGTAAACTGCTTTCTTTTGTTGAGTATTATAATCTCCATTTCTAAGTTTTATAAGGGAAAATTTTATTTTACTTATTTATTCTTTAGCTGGTAATCTGGAGGTCCCAATATTAGATCATTCTGGATTTCAATATCCAGATTTAGTATTTCGTACTGTATCACATTTGCTACCGCATATGGCTATGCTGCAAATATGAATCTTATATGGCATCTGTAATATAAAAGGGCTTCAGTTATAGTATAGGTAGTAAAAAAAATTAAATAATATTGACGAAAATGCTCTTCCCTTTCAACAAGCATTTAGCTACTTGCTATTGTTATGATATTAACTATCTTCTGATTCTGTTCATTGTTATACTGTATTACAAAAGCCAATATGCATTTTAGAAATTAGTAGAGGATTTTAAAGCAGCTAATTTCCACATAATTTTTATCTTTGAAATTATGATAGATTCCCAGAGTATCTTAATTTTTTAGGCACCCCCCCCCAAAAAAAAAACTTTAAATTAAATATTTGGTTACAGAACATATACACAACACACTAAAACCTCTTATTTTTCAAGATATGCTTTAATGTTTATTATATCTTCCATGCAATTGCATGCATTTTTAAGATGTACTTCAAAATATATTGTAAGAACAGAAAAGAAGACTGGTATTCCGTGGGTTAAACTTGAATACTTAAACTGGTTCAAATTTAAGTTTATTGGTGGCCTCAGGGATTAAAACAATCATACTATTCAGAAAGATAAGATAGCTTTCTTCACTATTTCACTGATTGTCTATGATAAGTAACAACCTTGAAAAATGTGTGCAGTAATATAACAAATTATTATAGTACTTATAACTATAACTAACAAAAGTAGCAGTTTGCAAAGGTAAGTAAAAAACAGTTTAAAAACCTGCCATTTATATTCATAATTAATAAAATGCTTACTCTTCAACAGGTTCATTCACTGCAGGACCTAAGTATTCCACTATAAATACTACACGATTATGCGATACAATCTTCACATTGGCTGTCACATAGTTTGAAAATGATATTTCATTCCAAGCTGCATACTGCAAGAAGGGAAAAAAACAATGCAACTAAATTTACAGCAGTGAAGTTGATTTACATTTACCAGAGGTTCTCAACCAGAGCAGAATTTCATAGTTTTGGTCAGTCTTTTATTTAGTTGTTAAGTATTTCATTTTAATTTATGAGTATGAAAAACTAATTTATTCAAGTTTTGGTACTTACCAAAACCATTTCCTACACTTTGTGTTGTTTAATTTATAAAACACATAAAAAATATAATCTAAATCTAAATAAACATACACATGTATTCTTTAAGTTTTGGAAGTGGGGCATAACTTAGCAATGGTGAAAGGGATGCATGGGGCAAAAAAGGTTGAGAACGACTGATTTCAACTAATAAAAGTAAATAACATTTCTTCTTAAATTTTTTCAATGTTCCTTCAAGAGCTTCACCATTTTATTAAGCACTTATTTTCATTATAAGTTTGATATAATATTAAATTAAATTAAAGAGTAACTGTTTTTTTATTCTCATAAGTACTTAACATCAGTCATAAATAACCCTTAAGAAACTGAATACAAGGGCATACTTTATATCTGTTATTAGTTACATTTTACATCAATGTAATTCATAAATCACACATTAAAATGCCTTATAATATTAACAAGGAGTTACATTTCTGAAGAAAAAGAATACTTTTTCAAAGTAGCATAAGTCTAGGAAAAAAACTGGCATAACAGTAATTTCTTTTATAGTTGCATTTCTCTCCTCCCCCTATTTTTTGGGTAACAAGCAATACTTATTGCTTCATTGCTGTAAATCCTAAAAAATCAGACTAAAAAAGCTGCTGATTTTTAAGTAATAGTGATTGAGAATGTCTGTATGTAGACTAACAGAAGTTCTCTAATATTTTTTTCCAGCTACCATTATTCAAGAAAACGGTGGAGATTTTATGAAGCATGAATTTCTCTTGATAAAGGATAATAGGTTAAGTATAATTCGCTAGGTATAAGTTCCTTCTTCAAAAATAATCCATTTTTTGTTTCTAATCATGCAACTGATAATAACTCAACTGTCTAAGAGTTACCAAATATAATTCAAATTACCTGTATTCAAAAAATTTTAACACAGGTCACTGCAGTGTTTGCTTTTATGACTGACTATGTAATTAATTATCGGTGTAATTTCACATTTATTCATTGTTATAGTGAAATTTGGGTTATCCATTAATCTGTTGCCATGATGGATAAATAGATAATAGAAATTTTGTCTAATACTGTAAAAAAATATGGGTAATAATATATTGTAGTATAATAGATCCATTTATATCGCAAAAACTGCACAACACTAAAAAGTCATTAAAATTGAAAATTCATCACATTCATAAGAGTGAGGCTCCTTAGCTGCCTCTATGTTAGGGAGAGCCAGAACTGGTTAAGATGATACTGGGCAGCACTTTTTTTTAATTTACTATATATAAAAAGTGAAATTTTTAGAATGTTTACATTCCTGTTCATAACTTTAAACAATATTCCATAAGTTTTTCAAAATTTATTACCTTAATTTTATACTTTTTACCTTAATTTCATTAAATTTCACTAGAAGGAAGGGGGGACTTTTTAAAATAAAATATTTTGTATCTCTGCTGTAGAATTTCCATTTTGTATCTTGGTTTTTCTGACTGAGATTTCACATTCATCACAGCAATCATATCTGAACACTTTTTTAATGTTCAGTTTATTAAGACAAATAAAAATAATTTTAAGTTAAAAAAATTTATCATATATGTGGAAAACTATTATACCCCCTCCCTTCAAAAACATTACGTCTTTAAAAGATCAGTCATTCCAAATAGTAATTTTTACCTATCACTGGCTTAAAACAACCAGAGTATGAAAAAGATAAAATTCTTTAAAGAAAATAATTCAGGTGTTTGGTCTAGGTATGTTATATCTTTAAGAAAGGTGAGGCATAAATAGCATACCTTTAAGTATTATTACTCGGACTTTACTTTTCCTCAAAGGGATAAATGATTTTAAAAAATTAACATTACCTCAGATGAACATAGCTTTTCAGGTAACAGTCTAAGGAGAAAAACATATCCTACATTTGAGTCAGTATAGTAATTTGCTTACCCTGCGTATTTTATATTCGTTAAAACACTTCTTGTAATACACAAATGGACCAAAAAATATTCCACTTCATGAAATAAATCAACTTTGTACATTCATTTTCTAAATTAACACAGGCAAGACAAGTATACCAATATTAAAGAAAACAGTAAATCAAAACTAAAATTTAAGCATACTTTCTATATATTACAATACAGACATAAAAAGGGGATATATATATTAATATTTCAAAGTTATGAAAAATTTACATCCAAGATCTAAAAAAAATCAATTTAGTTTTGTTCTCATTAAAATATGGAAACTTAAAATAATTTTGCATGTAACCATTCAACTTACAGTGTAAGTACTGCGATACAGAAGCAAGCCATCCTGTTCAAACCACTCAAAACGTTGAAGCATATTAGTTTCTTTATCCACTCTCCATAGAAATGGTGTTGGTTCATTTATGTCAGCTTTGGCTACTAGAAATCGTTCCTAAAAATAAAGATGTGTTACTTAAAATCAAATACATAAATATTTACAGCATCAGAGACAATTTGAATTCTTAATTTCCATTCCAGAAATATTTAAAGAATATCACAAAAAATATCTCATTTAATAAAAACTTCCAAAAAGGCACTAATATTAGAAAAATATGTTACAGTTACTTTAAATATTCTAAAAGAGTTTAGCCATACATGTTAAATTGGAGCTTAATTTCAAACACTCTTACATTGAAAATTCTGCCACATTAAGGAGATATAAAAAGGAAAAACAAAAGTAATTGTCCATATGATACTGATAAATTTGACTATTATTATTTAAAATTTTTCCAATATGCATTTGAAAGCATTTGGAATTTCTAATACTTCAATTAACACTTATTTATATTTTTATGTAATTCACACTCACCTGAGAACGTTGCCTTAAAATCTACAATATCACGTTAAATGTTAAGCATTTTAATCTCCACCAACCTACTGAGAATAACAGTTAGATTTTGTTAAAAAAAACTTCCTTCCATTTATAGTATTTAATTGACTTTCAATACATAACAGGTATTACTTTGCTTCAGAGCAATGAAGCTGTATTTTACAGTTTAAAATTTTTTTGAAAGTATGAAAGATCATAAGAATTGCATAATGCAGTTGAAATAGATTATTGTATTATATAAATTTCCAGTGAAAGCCCTAAGCATTAATCATTATGCGTGCATTATTTGAAGAGTTTGGAATAGAAAATACAATATGTTTGCAAAAAAGAAGTAATTTAGATAAATACAGATTATTTACACGAGTTAAAATGCATACTTTCCTGCTCAAATTTTACTTTTTCTGTAAATTAAAAAATAAATGAAAAAGTTGTAGCTTCAGCTCAGAAATAAAATGTGGAAAATAGTTACAATATATTGGCACAAAATTCATATCTGCGATTTTTTTTTTTTTTACTTAGAATGAATCCACTATGATTAATTTCAAAAATAACAAAATTATACAATGTTACAATCATGATTATATACAATGGAAACGTTCATTATAAAAACATCAAGAATTGGCTTAGTGAGAAATGACTTGAATGTAAACTGTCAGTATGATAACGCTCATGCAGAATTGGCTTAGTGGTGAACTGACTTGCAAACTTTCAGTATGGTAATGCTCATAAAGAATTGGCTACTTCAAACTAACCAACTATTACTGATTCTTGCAATGAAAAGCATGCAAGTTAAAAATGAAGTGTCAGTTTGTACTATTTATGAAAATATTCATTATGATTGTGCCTATACTATTACACAGTTCATCATAAGGCAATACGCATAATTCAGTGGAAGATATTTCTTTCCACTTTTAACAAAAAGAAACCCTAGTCGATTTTAAAAAAAAATTTAAAAAAAAAGTTACTCTGAAGAAGTCTTGCAGATTTGTTGCAATCATTATATTTGAACTGTTTTTTTAGACTTAAGAAATGGTTTTGAATTTGTTATTTATATGTTGTGTTAAAGATAAGATTTCTTTCTAAAAACAGCAAAATTTCAGAAAAAAAAAAAAAAAATACTTATAAAGGTAGTAATTACAATGAGCATATAAAAAAATTTCAGCACGTACCGGTTATCTTTTTTTAAAATATTTGTGCTAAAGTTGATGTCGATAAGAACCTTCTTTTTATTTGATGTAGTTATATTATTTCAGAATTATATACTGCAATTTTTTTATGAAATCAATGTGTTGCAAGTTTAATACATTTAGAATGTATTGGTCACATAAGAAATTTTGTGTGCAGTATTTTTTTATATTTATATTTTCACAATTTCATTAAGTATCCAACTTTTAATTATAGTGCGAGTCCTTATAAATATCAATATTTTTACGGTTTAAGAAATATAGTTGAATTTGAGATTAATGTACAACTTTTCATTAGGTGACTATTAACAAAGTTTTAGTGTTTAAAATATAGTAAAATAAATAATCATTAATTTTGTTTAAGTAAAGTAACAACAATAAAAATCTGAGCTCTATATAACCATTTATTTATAAATAACTTAAAACGAAAACTGGCCATACATATGAAATTTAATAGCATATTTAAAATACAAGTGACAATACAAGTTTGACCTGAGAAATATACAAACAAATGATATAGCAAATATATTTGAAAGAATCTGAATGAATTACTTCATTAAAAACGAATCGTGTATTAAAAACTTTCTTGATTACTTCAGTCATTGAAATCAATCTATTTCATAACACTTTACCTACAGCAGTTTAAAACTAATTTAATCTTGTTAATTAAAACTATTTCATTAATCATTCATTTCATATAAAAAGTATATTTTTTTAAATTAATCCTATTTTGTTAGAAAATGCAGTATTTACATTTGAAATAATAACCAGTCTGATTTTAAGATGAAGCACATACCTACAGTAATTAAAAACTAATTTCATCACTTCATATAAAAAAAAGTATATTTTTTATATAGTTATGATCTCAACAGTTGACCGAATTTTCAAATCTGCTTATTCATCCTGAAGCACAAAAAAAGTCACTTTTTTTTAAAATTTCATTTTGTTAGGAAATGAAATATTAACAATTAAAATAAAAAAACAAGAAATATTTACAATTAAAATTTAAAAAAAAATCTGATTTTTAAGACTAAAGCACACTTAATATCATTCAAAAGCAGATTTAAACTCTAAAATGCACACTTTTATCATTTTCAAATAATTAGTACTTAATGAATTTAAAAGTAGTCATAAATAAAACAGTTTAGAGGTATGTGATCCAAGATCAGAGTTCTGGAATATTACAAATTGTTTCATTCCAAATGGGTTGCAATATTTATTTTCTAAGGCAGGAATTTTAATAATTCCTGAACAAAATGCACATAAATCATAAGCAAAATAAAACTTGAACTAGTTAACTATATCTGATTAATCATCCATACCTAATGCTGCTTGTTTTATAAAATCTTAAATACTTTTCATACATGGTTATTACATTTCATAAAACATAATGAATTTAAAATAAATAATGTTTTTGCTTTCAGAAAATTTAAGAATTTTTATTCAAAATACTTTAGATATTAAAATTAATATTATTAATGTCTGAAATAAAACTCTCATATAAGGATAGTGCTTGTTTGTTTGGTGAGGGGAGCAACAGAAGTTATTTAGAATTCCCCCTTTAAAATAACAGCCTTCTTGTCTCCATATAATTTACATTTATATACCTAACTGGATAGCAAAAACTGATTCTTATTCTCAGCAAATCCTAACATGTAGTGTCCCTCTTTTATTCTTTATATTGCAACCTATCTAAAACATTACACATTGTTAAATACAATTGCATGATTCTCCAAAACGCAGAAGTATTCTAATTTGAAGTGAAAAATTCAATTTTTGTCAACTGCCAACGTAGGTTAAATATATATCACTTTCATATCAAAGGATTAAGTACATGCAGAGGGACCAATATTTTAAGGAAAAAAATTAATTCATGTTTTTTTTTTTATTGCAAAAATATATTTTCAAACTAAATGTTATTCAGAGGAAGGGAGAACTCTGGCAAAAGAACATATATTATGTTGAATTATTAAAAGATATGCATTGTAATAATTAGTTAAAAGAACTGAATTCTTTGTGCCAGTTTTCCCCCTCTTCATTTATTCAAATCTTATGTATTTAGTGCAATATTAATTTTACATATCATTTTTCTTCTTGTTGGACTGAGAATCGAGCATATTTATTTAACATAGGCTTTAACCTCAGTTTCACAGCAAACATCATTACAACAGATATCAATTTAAGAAATAAGAACAAGCTTAGGATAAATACCATAAATAATTTAATTCAGTACTCATGCTTTGCTTAAGATTTAAAAGGACATATTCATTACAAAAGCAGAACTAAACACCTGAGATCCACAGTACCATGAGGAAGCATTAAGAAGACAGCACAGATAAAAAAATTCTCAAATGTATCTTTCATATTAAATAAATTTGGGACAATAAAAGATTGTCAGATATTTTTACATACACAAATTCAGGGTTTTTTTTGTTTTTTAACACTACACTTTTTATATCATTACAGAAAATAAAAAAAAGATGCATGTACCAAGCTATGAGCAAGATCTACATAATATTCATGCACAAGCATGCATACTTTATTTACTTGTGCATTCCTACCAGTTTTACCGATGTTGCTGCTTGAAAACTGGGAGTGGTATATACCATTTCTAAAGAGAAGAACTTAAAGGAAAAACTTATCAGATTTATATTTAGAGAGTCAGAGATCCATTAATATTATTCTGCTATATATTTTAGGAAAGTGGTCACAATTTTAATTCTTTTCCACTGTACATCCATCTTATACCTTAATGCCAGAAATCAAAAACTTATAAATCATATGCTAAGAATGCTTAGGAGGAAAATACTAAGTACTAGAAATAAATAATCCTTTTTCAACCAATTCACAAAGTACTATATACTTCTTTCTCAACTGATTTACAAGATCTAAGAAATAGTATTTCCCCCGTAACCTCCTAACTAGAAAATTGTGATTTTGCTTTCTAGTCAGAATAGAATATGATTTTAGATGATTTGTTTTTTCCTAACTAACAACGGTGGTAGAATGAAATAATTTTAGAAGACTAAGAACTACTGTAAGATTCCTGGATTTCAATGTCAAGCAAAAAGATTTATTCACCATAGCAACCATCAAGGCAATTAGGAGGGAGATTCAAAAAGAAAGTCATATTTGATTCAAAATTTTATTGCCACACTACATAATACAACAATGGTACATCATGATATTTTTCAATATAATCATTCTGTCTTTATTTGTTGGAATATTCAACTAAACATTCCATCCCCTGATAACAGTAATTTGCTCCAGCTGATAGATTCATCGTTGAGCCATAGTTTGTATCGCCTTGAAAAAATGCTGTCCAGACATCAAATTCTTGTATTTTCTATGGCCATTATTCTGTAATTATTGAAAATT